TATGAAATTTAACATTTGGTAGAATTGTGAAATTTATAATTTTTTTTTATTAAAAAAGTAATTTTGCTCACCTATTTATTCGATCAGTATAAAATTTTAGCAGTAGTAATAACTATAAAAAAAGTTTCTTTTCCCAAAATTTTAATGCTAAGCTTAAGTTAGCCGGATTTCGAACTCAAAAGTGGACACGAAGGAAATGGCTTTTTCTCCATAAATCTTGATTTATTGAAGAAAATTTATCACTTTGAAAAGTCGGATCCCCTTATCCTTATTGAAAGAGTGATTCAAAACAACGTTCTCATTTAACCATTTTCGATTAAATCAGTAGAAAGAAATTTTTGACGACAAACGAAAAAACATCGAAAAACAACATTAAGTTGTTTATAAACAATGTTCTTTACATTTATGAGCGTACTCATAAGTTTATTAATTATATAAGTAATTTTTTATTAATTTACATGCAAAAAATAAGTCTATTCCAAACTTTTCCAAAAAATGGCGATTTTTCAGCTAATTCGCCTAGACTGTAAGTACAAAATGTGGTCTTACTGTCAGTCTCCATTTCAGTACTAACTAGCTCTACCTAGCGGCTCCGCATAAAAAGTTTAAGTTCAGAAACCAGATTCACCACACATATTATTCTCTTTGGAGATTGTATATCTTTGAAAGACAAGTTTGTTTATGGATGCTCTGCTTTGAAATTTAGTTAGAGCAACTCTGGCAATGAGTTTTTTAATTAAATCCCCGAAACTAGACTTTAATTAAAATTTACATTTTATTAGTACTACTGTGACATATGTATACAGAGTTATACTTATAAGGAACTCGACAAGTCGATACTATTTTCGAAGAGCATTAGTAGTGTTATCAAAAAAGTTGCTATTTTAATGGAATATGTTAACGAAATTGTTTAATGCGTAGATTGATCATTACTATTTCTTGCATACTTTATTAAACTAAATCAGAGGAACCGTTTAATTTGTAAAAAATATTCTTCGTGTGTCAATGTTCTGTATTAATCCTCATAAATTAATAATAAAATTATTTTACAATGCAAATTAACGAATTTATAGCCTCACTGAAATTCTACTGATGTACCAGTGGATGTAAAATCACTGATTCGCAGTGAAAGGATTGGTGTTGTTTTAATCAATGGATATGGCTGGGACGATCAAAACTGGCACTACTACACTAATGCGTATTCAGAAGATAGGGCAGAAGGTCGTGTTCAGTCTCCTTTTAATGGAAGGATGATAGTTGAAGAGTTGCACATGAGACGGACGAATTGAAAACAGAAGAGAATTTATCTTTGGAATATTGCTGTTCCAATATTTACTTATAGTTGGGACGATCAAAATTGGCAATCCGCAATAACTTATCTGTGAGAATAGACGTATCTTCTATCTTGTTTCAACTTGGGGCTGTAGTCATTTAATGTGTTTGCAACACGCCCTTGTTAAGTTAAGAAATGCTTCATGAGTTGTACAGAAAAAGGTGAAAAGAGATAACCGAATAACAGTAAGCGGGGCAGCGGTTAAAGGTTGCTTAGGTACGCAAAAGATTAGGGTCGGCTATATAACTGCTTGGNTAAATGCGACAGTTTTATTGCAGACTATGCAAATTTTAAACGTTCCAACCATATTGACCTATTCACAATGTTACGATTTCGGTTCGTCGTTTATAAAATTTTCAATTTTGCTCAAATCCTGCTTATCAGCATCTCTTTCTGATACACATAAATTGGTATAAAGTTATTCCTTTTTCTTTATAAATGTCCGCTGCAATTCCTACCTGACATCTCTTTTCTATGTTTACGATACTCCCTACTATGTCTGTCGTATGTAAAGGTATTAGGCGTTCCGTCAGCAACCGTTCTAGTCTATAAAAAAAATAAATGCGACAGTTTTATTGCGGACTATGTCAATTGTAAATGTTCCAACTATAGTCACTGTTACCCAGTGACTGTCCACTGATTTATAACTTAAATTGAAATAAAAATAAAAACTAAAGTTCTTTATTGTCATTGAGAAGATATGTGGCTTCTGTTTATTCACTTTATTTGTTAATGGGATTACAATCATTTTAACATGCAATCACTTTCTTTAGATATATATTATTACACTGAAAGATGTAGTTTGTTTTCAGTATTCGTCATTGAAAGGATAATATTGGTGCTTGGAACCCCTGAAATAAAATTTATTTACATATTTATTAAAATTCGATTAAGTAAATGTAAGTGAAAATTTATGAAAACTCATTTTCTGAGTAACAAAATGGATGAGATAGAGTAGAGTTAGCATGTACTCTGAACGTATGCATCCCAGATACCAGTTGATTGGGCCGTGGGCTAATTTCTAGGTATACTTTGCTAAAGTTACGTTTAATTGTCAGTACAAACTTTTACATTATGTTTCACAGAATATTGTTAAAATAAAATTTCTACCAGTTGCTTCAAAGTTCACAAAAAATAATCGTAATTTTACTTATAGTCTGAGTCTTCATTTTTAAATATGATACTTAGGAAACTATTTCAATACTTTTTGTAAGAAGTTAGATCAGTTGTAGATGTCAAACATCCTTCAGACACAATTAAAATGCCGCTGAGTTACAAAGCCATCTAATTATGGCGTTTGCGCTTTTACTCACAGCGACATTTTAACTGTGTCTGGATAATGTTTGATCCCTACAATTGGACAAGTATTAAAACAGTTTCCTATCATACTTAAAAATAAAGACTCAGATCATAAGTAAAATTGCGATTTCTTTTGCAAACCTTGAAGCGTCTGGCAGAAATTATCGCCCATGGGAAGTGTCCGGCAGTGTTGATTATTCATTTTTAATAATATTCTGTGAAGCTTGAAGTAATGTTTTCACTTACCTTTAACATCTGATATCAGCAAATTGACTATCGGCCTCAATTAGCAGATATTAGATACGTTTAAAGTACATACTAACACTACTCTATCCCACCCGCCGTTTTGTTACTCAGAAAATAAGTAATGTCTGACGGCTCTGGGATCTTGCTTTATGTTTTTCTTCCAACATATTAAATGGGACACTAATGAAATCGCCTCGATAAACAAATGCAAACATATTAGGTATTGGGTACTGGAAAATCATTGACTCTCCTAAACTCAAATTGAACGATCTTGAATGTTTCAGTGTTTCAGAGGCAGAAACGGGAGTTAAGAGGGGTAGAGGTAGACCTAAATTAAATTACTGTTCGCAAATAGTTAAGGATATGGGTTGTTCTAGTTTTGGGGAAATGTTAAGATAAGCTTAGGATAGGGAAGAGTGGAGGTGTATGGCCAACTAGTCTTAGGACTGACGACCTTATGATGACGATGATTTAGAATATCCACATACGTTATTGAATTTTACGGACACATATTCACTGAATAATTCAGCGACTATTCACTGATCCGCAGTGAAAGGACTGACGCTATTTTAATCAGTGCTACTCAGTGATTATCCACTTATTTATTTTAAGAAAGTAGGTGGTTATACTTCGTTTAGTTTCTGTAGCGATGTGACCTTCAGTTTGACCGGCGCAAAGTAGAAAAGAACAGCACTAGGCCAGAAGAGAAAGGAGACACCACTCGGCCAAATTCTTAACCGGTGAGGAGCGTATAATCCGTACAGTACTGCACAGAAAAATTGACCATTTTATCCACTACAATTGCATTGCTCAAGTGTGCTGTTATTTACTACTGAAAATATCAACGAGATGTTTATTTATATTTGAAGACATATCAAAGGCTTTAACGCTTGTTTTCGACTCGGACTACTATTCATGATTGAACAAAACTTTTGGCAGGTACTGTATGAAAAAGTATGTTTAATGAACAAGAGTCGAGAGTATAATGAGCTTTTTTCTCCCTACCTACGATTTTGCCAGTGCGCATTCAAGACATTGGAAGGGGCACATCGCTAGAGAAAATAAATGAAGTATAACTTTTATTCTATAATTTTTTAAATACGTTTTTAAACAAAAATTGTTAGTTTTCATCGGGAAATAATAGAAACATAGTCCAAAATTAAAACTTTTGGATCTCGCACACAGAGAAAGGTGCAGACTCCGTCAAGAACAATTTTATTTCATTCACTCAGTATATTAATAGAGGCTAATTTCATGTAAATTTGACAGATCCCAATTGCAACAGAATACTTTCCTGTGATAGACTCACAGGTAGTAGAACAAACATTTCTCTACTTACCAGTCAAATTTAAATATTCTTCCATTTCGATCAAAGGAGTCTACGTATTTCATATCTTCCGGAGTTAATTCGAAATCGAAAATATTAATATTTTCTTGAATTCTCCCTTTGTTCACAGACTTTGGAATAGCAATGTAACCACTTTGAACTAAATAACGAAGTACAATTTGAGCAGCACTTTTTTTGTATTTATCTGCGATCTTCTTCAGATTCGGGTCGTCCAAGAGCTTAGGATCGTCCGGTTTTGCCCAAGGTCTGTCAGCGGACCCTAGAGGACTATACGCAGTAAGAGTTATCCCTTTTGATTTGCAAAATTCAGCGAGCTTTTTCTGATTTAAATATGGATGACATTCAACCTAAACAAAAAGAACAAATGAGGTTGAAATGTTTCTGAAGGATGGACGTTTAGATAAATTATATTGATGTAAAAATGAAATGACTATTTTTGACCAATACTCAACTCGTCTCTTAAACTCTCGATGCTTTATTCGCTACCAATGCTGGTGAACAGGAGAATGCTGGAGGGTTAGGGCGAAAGGCTTTCTTTAGTCTGCTTTTAGGAATTGCAGTAATGGACTGATGTCGGTTGGGGCAAGAAAGATGAGATAGACAATATGAAGACGGAAGTAAATAAACGACTATCTGTATAAAATTTCTGATTCTGGATTTTTCCTAAGTGATCCAAACTGATCTAGAATCGAACCGGTCTCCTCCCAAATGCTAAGCAATAGTCTAAAAAACCTATAGGTCAGGCCGCTCAGTCAAACTCGTGACAAAAGATATTGTTCTATAGTTAGAACGTTCAAAATTGGCATAGTTTGCAATAAAACTTACTAACTAGACTAGAGCAGGGGCGGATCTACTTAAAGGCTTTTTGGGCTGCAGCCCAGGGCCCCGTGAATACAGAGGGTCCCCAACCTGAACTGAAAACAATAGACGATATTGTCAATATTAAAAATTATCTAGAATTAAAAAAAATTCGATCATATGATTGACAACACTGCGATCAATCAACCCGTGTGCGCATCTATCAAATGGAACGGGGAATTCCCCGTCGCTTGTTTTCGGTCGGTGTATTCCGTGTATTGTCTATTACTGGGGACTTCCCTCCGCTTATCACCCGACGCAATTTTGTTAGTTACATTTAGTGAATGAGTGCATTCAGTTAAAATTTTACTTACTGCAGTCTAAGACAGAGTCTTACACATCTTGCGGTGAATTTTTTTGGGTAATTTATGAAAAGATATTTGTTGATGTTTTCCCAAACTGCTATACCATCTTAAAGATTTTGTTAACGTTGCCGATCACTAGCTGTGAAGCGGAGCGCTCTTTCTCCAGGATGTCGTATACAGAATACAAATACAGGACAACAATGTTGAACTATCGACTAAATCATTTAACAGTTCTTTTCATAAATTGCGATTTAACNTTCGAAGTGGTCTGTATTCTGTCGAAACTGCCAGACGCGGATCGCGATTTCGATCTTTTTGGATCTCATCAGCGCGTCGCAGGCAGCTCCGACAGAATACAGACCAACTTTTACCTGCTGTATTAACAGTGCGTTTTAGCGCAGTAAACGCCATCTGTAGCACGAAGTATTTCTTTTGTTTTTATGTTTGAAGATTTATAATATTTCATTATACAAAGAGGTTAACCGCACAAAACGTGCGTCAAAATGTACTTATTCCACCCAGTAGGAATTTAAAACTTGTCTTAGAAATGTCACCTATGTATTGTTTAACTCACTTGATTTGTTACTGGGACGACAGAACCTTTTTCAAGAATCTTCTCAATTTGTCGTTTATTAAAGTTCGATACACCGATTGATTTTGTCAAACCCTTTCGGTAAACTTTTTCCATTGCGTTCCACGTGTCCACAAAGTCAACTCCTGCTGGTATCGCTTGTCCAGTTTTATCGACAGGAAGATTAGTGTTTACAATTTTCTAAAAGTAGAGAAACTATATTTTGTAACTGGGATTCGGAAATGAGAATAGAATTAAAACCAACAATTATACAGCTTAACTGCTTCAGTAAGAAACAACAAAGACGTAATCCAAAATAAAAATAAATTGGGTACCTACTTTTCCGTCCATTTCCACGATTCTTAAAAGGAGACTGAACAGGACCTTCTGCCCTATCCTTCTGGATACGCATTAGTGTAGGTCAGAAGGACTGCCCGCCCGCCAAAAATTAGTAGGTGGTGTTAATAAACCACGCAAAACATTAGCAAAATTACGTAAAATTTCCGATAAACGTATACCAAATAAAGTAAAATTTAATTTCATGAAAATTTACCTAATTAGAACCTTTTTGGTATCTATCATTACACGGTTTGAGAAGTTTCGGTAAGTTATAACTATCGAATTCTTTTATAGACTTACTTGAAAATCCATAGGAGTGTGCATTAAGTACAAATCAAGATAATCTAAGCCGAGAGCACTTAGAGACTGATTTATAGCGGGTTCCACATCTTCGGGCTTGTGGAAAGTATTATATAATTTGGTAACGATAAATAGGTCTTCCCTTTTTACAACGCCTTCGTCTATTTTAGCTTTAATTCCCTCTCCGACTTCCTTTTCGTTTTGGTAGATCCAGGCGGTATCAATGTGTCTGTACCCAGCGTCGATGGCATCTTTAACTGCTTGAACCACGTCTCCTCCTCTAGACTACTCGTAAGAAATAAAAGAAAAGGCAATTAAAATCAAAGGAAAGAAAAGAATGTTTTAATATATTCATACATATGTCTAATTGGTGACGTTTTTAAGTTTTATTTGTCGACGACATAAAGGAGTGAATGTTAAATTAAATAACGTCATTCATAGCCTTGAATCTATGTTACATTTTGAGCAGAGAAAATGGGAAAAGACCTATAGCTTTCTACAAGTACATTGCCTTTATTGTACATATTACGATTAGTTGTCAGCTGCCCGCGCGGAATTCAATTACACCCCAAATTCCCATTTTAAACCACTTGGGGTGGGATTTTGAAAACCTACTATATATAGTTCATTAAACAAAATGCAGTATAATCCTTCTTCATTCATAAAAAAAATCCTTGACACCGCATTATAAAATATTTAAGAGTGGGAGTTCAGGGAAGTTAAAATTTGTGGTTGTACGTAAGAAAAATTGTTTTCGTCAAAAAAATTAAAATAAAAGTAGATGTCGACAACAACACCAGCTATAAAATCCAAAAATATCGCATCTATTAAGCTGAAGTCAACCATACACATCCACAACATTAAAATCGGTTGAGTGGTTACGGAGATTAGCGTGTACCAACATAGTGGTACGTGATTTTTATATATTTATCAAGATGAGTTTAAAAAGCAAGTCATTTATTTATTTCGAAATATTTATTGCTTTATGTAATCACAAAAATTTGATATGACAGTGACCCAATTTGTTTAAATACAATTTAATTGTATATCAAAGTAAATAAACTTATTGCAAAATATTGCTTTTATTTACGATTAGCTAACATCCTTAAAAACTGAAGAAATTTTAACAAAACAACTGAAACTAACAGTAGTAATAATATAAGAAACGAGGCAGGGGTCATTTTGATAGAAAATGAGGAAAATGCAGGCAGGTGGAAAGAATATTTGGAGAACCTATATGCAGGCTATGAGTTAGGAGATATTTTAGAGAAGGAAGATAGCGTGGAGTTAGGTGAACTAGGTTACCCCATAATGAGAGAAGAGTTCGATGCGGCATTAAAAAACCTAAAGAATAGTAAGGCGCCAAGTATAGATTGGATACAGGCCGATTTTAGGTATCTAGGAAGTCAGATAAGTCAGGAGTAGTAGGGATATAAAGCAGAGGTTAGCGTAAGGTCGAGTCGCCTTCAATAAGAAGAAGTCACTTCTGTGCTCGCAAACGGTTAATTTAGAAATTCGAAAAAGGTTGTTAAAGCTGTATGTTTGGAGCGCGGCGCTGTACGGGTGCGAAACATTGATAGTGGGCGCGGCGGAAAAGAAAAGGTTAGAAGCCTTCGAAATGTGGTGTTACAGGTGAATGATGAGGATACCGTGGATAGAGAAGATTAGAAATGAAGAGGTATTAGAGAGATCTCAGGCATGAAGGTCTAGTCAGAGACATATTAGAGGCAGAAACGGAAGTTAGGAGGGGTAGAGGTAGACCTAAATTAAATTCATCATCATCATAAGGTCATCAGTCCTAAGACTGGTTGAACACGTACCTCTACTCTTTCCTATCCTGAGCTAAACTTCGCATTTCCCTAAAACTGAGAGAGACTGTCGAGAGACTGTCAAAAAAACTGTTTAGCGTCTCTGAACGAGAGACTGGAGTCGTTCATAGAGGGATCCTCATTTCGTATCCAGTCTCTGAATGAGAGACTCGAATCTCAATAAGTGGGGACTCGATAGACATGGTTAAAATTTTCTAAGTTCAACATATTTCAGAGATCCTAGTCTTTCTACGAGAGACTCAAGTCTCTTAATTTTTCAGTTTTATTCATTCAGTCTCTCTGTAAGAGACTCGAATCTCTGAATTAACAATTTTATCGTTCGAGTCTCTCATACAGAGACTGTGAGAGATTCATAAAAACACCCAGGCAATAACTGAGAGACTGTGAAAGACTGTGAGAGATGCTCTCAGAGATGCTGAAAGACTCTGAGACACTGGAGAGAGACCGAAAGTTTTTGTCTAGGGGATATGGGTTGTTTTAGTTTTAGAGAGATGCGAAGATTAGCTCAGAAGGAAAGAGTTGAGATGCGTGTCTAACCAGTCCTAGGACTGAGGACCTTATGAGGATGATGATTGGCATACCCTTTTAAATTAAAATAAGCAAACGATCTTTCAAATTTGTAAAGGCTTTCGGGGCCAATATGTGAGCTGATGTTGTCCTTGTTCGGGTCTAAAGGCCGTCGTTGGTTGGAGTTCCTTCCTAAGGTTTCGCTAGCACTAGTGGCGAGTTGTCCGGTGCTGGATGTGGACTGTCCTCTGAAGAAGCTCGCCATTCGTATTAGTGAAACGTTAGGAAGTACCTGCACCCGTCGATGACCTTTATATCCGAATTAAGACAGCATCAGTTCAAACGACCTTTCATCACTTCTCTGTGATTTATTTATTTTTTTTTTTTTATGACTAAAAATGATTGATGAACGAGAATACTAAAAGGTAAATATTTAGTTCAGAACGTGTGCACTGTTAATAAAGCTACAATAATATTTTTTTGGGATAATTATACGGAATACAAGTATTTCCTTTTTAAGTTGTTGAAAATATTACACAGTAGTCACTAACCTTCCATGTTCCTAGTCCTATTACAGGAATGTCAAGACCATTGTTCAGTTTTATTGTAGGAGCTATCGTTGTGTCACCTAACGTCACAATAGTAGCAATCAGGCATATCACGCAGTTGAACCACTTTGTGTATGCCATTTTGAAATAAACACCCTGTACAGAAATTTAATACTTCATACTTTTTCGATGACATAATTATGGAGATTAAGCTTTAGCATTAGCGAATTTTCCAGTTTTCGTAAGATGTTGTTTACAAGAAAAGTTCTTTGAACTCGTTGCCTAAGATCTAGCATGTGGCGGATTAAACAATTAATTTAAAACTGGTCTATCTTCCAACATTTGTTATGTAATGTTTGAAGGTTATCGAGTAATTGTTAATTACTGATGCTCTATAGTTATTATGTGATATATGTAATGGTAAATAAAAATTAATTTTTGCAATATTGTGATTAAAAATATATGTATATCAAGTATATGTTAAATTCACTTATAAATGAGTTTCCAAAAAATTATTTTTAATAAAATAACCGGCATTATTTAGAAAGATAAAATAAAATGTTAGTAACGTTTCAACAGTTTATTTAAAATAATTCTAGCGAGTGGGCCATTATTAAACATTATTTGAAAATAATTGTAAGAGTTATTTTAAATATATTGTTAAAGCAGTAGGTACATCACGTTTTCTTTAATTTTTCTAAAAAAATATCTACAATATTTCTTCATAAAAGGGGACATATATTAATATTGAATAAGTAAAACCGTTTTGATTTTTAATGTTTCAATTTAGTTAGAGTTTAGAGTTACTCTACACTGTTTCGGCTCTTTTAGGCCTTGTCATGTCAAGAGTATGTAGTTAGAGAACATACTAATGGTTAAAACTGCATTAATGCAGAAGCTATTTTAAAGTATTTATTATATATTGAAAGAATCTGGTACTCACTTTTTCTATATTTGTCTAGGTTCAATATATTTCGTTTTTCCGAGTATTTATTGAACTCTTTTTGATCACTTCATATATGCATCAACAACTGATGGTGTATTCAAGGTTGTGTCTTTTTATATGTGTATTATCTCTCTCACATAGAAAAGAATATTAATATTTAGTGTTTTTAATATAACAACAAATTGTTATTTTACATAATCGTTATTTTAATTTCTTCCTCATAACAACGAATTACTGGAAAGTTATGTATCAGTAGCTAGTAAATCAGTCCTACTTTAGTTCACATTTTCGACCCTATTTAATAATAAAATTTAAACATAATAAAAGAAACTGTAGTAAGTATATAGAAAAATGTTTAGTAGACCTAGACCTAATTAAAACACAAACATATTTCTTTTTTAAGCTGTTACGAGACTGAGTGTTTAATAGTGCAACGTTCAAAAAGAGGGTGAAACTCGTCTCGGTTTTTAGGGGTGAGTCTCTTTGAAATTATTCCAAATAAATTCTGGATTCGCATTGCATCAATTAGCCTGTTATCGATCTTTCGTTTTCGATCACAGGTAATATTCTCAAGTTCTTTCGCTTGTCTTTTGATTTAGATAAATAATTTATCTACGTCTAAAAATCTAGAAAATGACCACGTATGAGAGGACGAAATATACGTTTACAATAGACAAATTGACGCATTTGGAATCCCTTGTATACGTATTCCTTTGCTCGCCAGATGCTCGCGAAAGCAGCCTCGCTCATTAGGTTGACTGGTAGAGGGATTTGTCCCTCGAATATACAACTTATTAATGATATAAGCCGGTGCTACGAGTGACCTGAATATGCTAGGCGAAAAATCTCTCTGCCTGTCGGGCTGTTTTAAAATGGACCCCTAATGGTACTGGTAATGCTGAGGTAGAGATGTGTCACCTCCATGGGTGAGCGGCGTATTCCCTTGATTACCAAGTCTGCTAACCCTGGTGGGGACCAGATAGATCCTATCTACGCCAAGGGGTTCTAGAGGGTCTTGCTGACTTTCTGTATTCAATTGGCATCGTGGGTTTGACTTCTGTGCGCGAATTGATCGTCGTAGGTAAATCGTAAGGCAGGCATCACCACGTTATTCTAAATAAGTCGAAGACAACCCCTCCCTCCCTAAGGCATGGTGCGAAGCATCTATTATGAAGATGGATTTTGATGTTATTGTGTTTTTCATTTTTTTCAGTCACATGCTCTAAATCTGCCACCCTGCAATGTTTCTTCGAATTTTATCTAGCAAATCGACTTTTCCTCAACTAATCTCTTTTTAATCCATTTTTTCTTCATATGTCAAAATTCTTTTAATTTGTGTACGTTTTAAAGGTAAGGCTATAGCTGAGTATTTTAACTTGAATATTATTCGAGCAACTCTAGTAATGATAACTTTTTATTTAAATCTGCGAAACTACCTGCGATAAATATTCTGATGAGGAATATGCAAAGTCGATACTGAACACAATTTGGCAGATTAGCCATTAACACGATTAATTTTTACCAACCTGTATTTAAATAAAAACAAAAATAAAAATTGTTTGGTATTATTGATGATAAGGTTTTCTTGTTTACTTGTATGCATTTAATTTATTACAACTTAATAATAATTTTTACATGCAAACAGTTTTTTCTTCATATACCTACTCGTAACATACATTATATATTAACAATATTTTTATTACAGATAAATATGCGCCTGTTTAATTTTTAATTAGTATTCGTCACTAAATGGATAAAATCGGTGCTTGGATGACCTGAAACAATGTTTACGTGATTTTTAATATTGCAAGTCATACGGAATTAGTTGTATAAATTATATATATATAATAAATGAACGATCCCTTTCCTTACCAGTCAAATGTAAATATTCTTCCATTGCGATCAAAGGAGTCTACGTATTTCATATCTTCAGGAGATAATTCGAAATCGAAAATATTAATATTCTCTTCGATTCTGCCTTTGTTTACAGACTTTGGAATAGCGATGAGGCCTCTTTGAGTTAAATAACGAAGTACAATTTGAGCAGCACTTTTTTTGTATTTATCTGCGATCTTCTTCAGATTCGGGTCGTCCAAGAGCTTAGGATCGTCCGGTTTTGCCCAAGGTCTGTCAGCGGACCCTAGAGGACTATACGCAGTAAGAGTTATCCCTTTTGATTTGCAAAATTCAGCGAGCTTTTTCTGATTTAAATATGGATGACATTCAACCTAAACAAAAAGAACAAATGAGGTTGAAATGTTTCTGAAGGATGGACGTTTAGATAAATTATATTGATGTAAAAATGAAATGACTATTTTTGACCAATACTCAACTCGTCTCTTAAACTCTCGATGCTTTATTCGCTACCAATGCTGGTGAACAGGAGAATGCTGGAGGGTTAGGGCGAAAGGCTTTCTTTAGTCTGCTTTTAGGAATTGCAGTAATGGACTGATGTCGGTTGGGGCAAGAAAGATGAGATAGACAATATGAAGACGGAAGTAAATAAACGACTATCTGTATAAAATTTCTGATTCTGGATTTTTCCTAAGTGATCCAAACTGATCTAGAATCGAACCGGTCTCCTCCCAAATGCTAAGCAATAGTCTAAAAAACCTATAGGTCAGGCCGCTCAGTCAAACTCGTGACAAAAGATATTGTTCTATAGTTAGAACGTTCAAAATTGGCATAGTTTGCAATAAAACTTACTAACTAGACTAGAGCAGGGGCGGATCTACTTAAAGGCTTTTTGGGCTGCAGCCCAGGGCCCCGTGAATACAGAGGGTCCCCAACCTGAACTGAAAACAATAGACGATATTGTCAATATTAAAAATTATCTAGAATTAAAAAAAATTCGATCATATGATTGACAACACTGCGATCAATCAACCCGTGTGCGCATCTATCAAATGGAACGGGGAATTCCCCGTCGCTTGTTTTCGGTCGGTGTATTCCGTGTATTGTCTATTACTGGGGACTTCCCTCCGCTTATCACCCGACGCAATTTTGTTAGTTACATTTAGTGAATGAGTGCATTCTGTTAAAATTTTACTTACTGCAGTCTAAGACAGAGTCTTACACATCTTGCGGTGAATTTTTTTGGGTAATTTATGACAAGAAATTTGTTGATGTTTTCCCAAACTGCTACACCATCTTAAAGATTTTGTTAACGTTGCCGATCACTAGCTGTGAAGCGGAGCGCTCTTTCTCCAGGATGTCGTATATAGAATACAAATACAGGACAACAATGTTGAACTATCGACTAAATCATTTAACAGTTCTTTTCATAAATTGCGATTTAACAAAGGACTTACAGTGCGATGACCAAATAAAGGAATTTGCAGCACAAAAATGCAGAAAGGTTACTTTATAATTTATATAACATAACCATTCATAACCTGTCAATTTAATAAATAAATAAAATATTTTGTTGTCCTATTTTCTTCCTGTACTTAACATATATTATATATATCTACATCACTACAGAAAATTGTTTTTTGACAAAATGGCAATTGGTTGGGTAATTAGGTAGGGCCCCTAAGCAGTATTAGCCCAGGGCCCCACAAATTCAAGATCCCCCCCGGAATAGAGCGGTTGCTGACCGAACGCCTACTTTTACTCATGACAGTTGTTGTAGGGAGTATCGTAAACATGGAAAATAGATGCCATTTAGGAATTGCAGCGGCCACTAATAAATAAAAAGGAATAGCATTACACCAATTGATGTGTAACAGAATGAGATGCAGACAAGCAGTATTTGATCATGCTGCCAGCATCGAACTTTAAAGAAAGTTCAACATTCTCAGAAACTTAGAAAAGCAAAGATACTTGTTTAAAGATGTACATCTAACCAGGCGCTTATAAAGCCGACCCTAAGCCACCTCTAACCACTGTACAGCTTACTATTATTCGATTTTCTCTTTTTACATTGGTGTACTACTCATAAACCATTTCCTAACTTAATAAGATAAATAAAACGGGAGCGGTATTGACAAAGCAATATTGTATGAAAATAAATTAAAGTAAAACAAAAATGCTGGTATTCAAGGGATGAAAAAGTAGAGAAGGACGAATATAAATATAGGGGACGAAGAATTAGAAATTGATAATTTTGGTAACTACAAAGTCAGATAACCCAGGATGGAAGGAACAGTAGAGACATACATGGTGTTACAGGCGAATGATGAGGATAGCGTGGTTACAGAAGGTTAGAAATCAGAAATGATGGGAGACAAAGGACTATATGGAAGTCAATAAGAAATAGGCGAGATGACTTAATGATATTAAAGGCAGAAAGAGGAGGAGAGATAGACTTAGTTTAGATAACTGTTCACAAATAGTTAAGGATATGTGATCTAGTTTTGGAGAAATGTGAAGATAAGTTCAGGATAGGAATTAATGGTGTCCAACCAGTCTTAGGACTGACGACCTTATGAATGCATAATAGATTGTATTTGATACTTCTGGATAACAGCTGATAAATGACAGACTCTTAAATAACAGTCCATCAACACCATTCTATATACATTTTGACCACTTCTTATAAAAATTCAAAATATGTAATTTCTTACTCGAAATTCATAACACTTTTGTCATATAGCACCGTCACTCATTATAACTCACCTATATTGTTTTATCACATCTGTACTCACGAACGGTTAATATGGAAAAGCGAAAACGATTATCAGCAGTGTATCTTTAGAAGACCATTCTGTACGGGTTCAGGAAGTTTTTGTGATTGTTTTTTAAGATTGCAGATTGATAACTTTTTAACGTTCAACTTACTTGATTTGTTACTGGAACGACGGAACCTTTTTCAAGAATTTTCTCGATTTGCCGTTTATTAAAGTTCGATATACCGATTGATTTTGTTAGCCCCTTTCGGTAAACTTCTTCCATTGCCTTCCACGTGTCTACAAAATCGACACCCGCTGATACTGCTTGTCCATTTTCATCAGTTGGAAAAGTAGTGTTTCCAACTTTCTGCAAGTAAATAAACAAAATTTGTAACTCGGACCTAGAACATTGAAGAAGGAGTACAAAAAAATAATTTTAAGGCTTCTCAATTTACATTAAAAGTAATAACATTGAACATCTAATTTCACAATGTGACACTGAAATGCAACAATTGTGTAAGTGATTTAATAAAAAAAAGACAAACGTGTAACCGAAAATAAACATAAATCAAACAGGATTGTAGTATGGCTTACGTAAAAAAGAGTAGAGGAGAAAGGATAGGTAATTTCTTAATCAATAAACAGACTCCAGCCATTTTGTGAACGTATATTTTGGTATTGGGGTGAACACCGGTTCGATTCTAGTTTTGTTTGCCCTGATCTAAATTTTTATTTGGTTTTCTTAGATTATTTATTAGGAAAAAATACTGAGGAAGTAATGTCCTACTGGTATTTCACTTCTTTTCTTACTTCAATTCGTCTATTTGAATCTGTCTTTATCCATTATCCGGTCAACAACCTCACAATATAAAACTAGATGATTTTAGAAGTATCGATGAGGTTGTACAACTTCTTAACAACTAAACCCAAGCACCAAAAATGTTAAATTTATCTATAAAAATGTAAGTATAACATCAACTTACTTGAAAGTCTGTAGGGGCATGCATTAAGTACAAGTCAAGATAATCCAGACCGAGTGCATTTAGTGATTGATTTATAGCGAGTTCCACATCTTCTGGTCTGTGATATGTATTCCACAACTTGCTAACAATAAATAGGTCTTCCCTTTTTACAACGCCTTCGTCTATTTTAGCTTTAAGTGCTTCTCCGATCTCCTTCTCGTTTTGGTAAATCCAGGCGGTATCAATGTGTCTGTAACCAGCGTCGATGGCATCTTTAACTGCTTGAACCACATCTCCTTCTCTAGACTAGTCATTAAATAAAATACAGGAAATTAAAATCAAAGAAAAGGAAAGATGGCTTTAAAATTTCTACAAAACAAATAGGAAAGAGTGTAGGTGTATGTCCAACCAGTCTTAGGACTGACGACCTTACGATGATGAACTCCAGAATATTTATTACTTCTTATTTTTTGAGCAAAATAAGGTTGTGGTGCGCTCTTAAAATGATTTCTGACTGTTTCGATTGCTAACGTCTTTATCTAGACATTTAGAGGAACTTAATTTTTCAAACGCTTTGTTTACTCAAAATCAAAGCTTTCTGAAAGATATAAACATTTTACATAATTATTTGGTACCTAAAATATGCTGTCACCTTAGCAGAAACACGATATTTTTTTCAAACGAAACGTGAGTTTTGTTTACTTTCGAATTCTACTATATTTACTTTTTGTTGAAGACAGGGTAAACCTTTCTTTGGTTTCGCCCCACAAATTTATAATTCGTTTTTATTTTCGGTACTTTACTGAACCAAGAAAACATGACCAAGTTGTAATATGAAGCCGGCCCTGGGCGTGAGGTGGCAGCGTTTAGAGAAATTGCGATAACAATTAAGCAACTGCAAACTTTGTTCATCGCTGACAGCATGCAGTACTATGTAAAGTTCACATCGATATGGTACTAAGAGCACAAAATAAATGAAAAATTGACGTTATGTAAACTTTAAGAAGTAAATTAATATCCTCTGGATAAGTAATGGTTATTTTTATTAAATTTTCAAACCACCATTGAGGTATTGTCAAGGTGTCAACTCCCTACAAAGAAGTGAAACGGTTTTAGATCAGGACTACGCGCTGGCAAGGATACAGGATCCGAGCGTCCAATAGAGCGTCTAGAAAAATATTCGTTTGGACAATGCAATGATACTGTTTTGCACTAACCTCTGACACCGACACACTTCCAATGTCTACATACATACGTAATACAAGCCTACAACGTTAAAAGAACAAGAAAATACTGGCTGTAAACATAAATATCGTAAATCATACTTAATCTAATATAGCAAATAACAAACAATACATGATTAGAAAAATGCAGAAGATACCCAACACGGATTTTCAAGTTTTATTGTGCCCTATCACCTTATGCAAGCTTGCTGCATATTTCAGAAACATCCTGCATGTATGTGATAGTATGTATAGGTACATTCCATACGTTTGGGGCATCTTGGACTTTAAACATTAGTATTTAATTTAGGTGATATTAATAGTGTTTTACAATTATTTTATTGCATTAATTGTTGGGAATTTCAAAGGATATTTGAATAATTCATGTGTGTATATGGACAGACACACCTAACTAATCGTTATACATGCAACAATTCCGATTAACATAATAAAACTACATGATGTTGAAACTACGGTTGAATCTTATAAATATGCATGTATTTACAGGTATGAAAGTAATTTGCATTAATGTTTTTCTTAGAAATATGATGGAAGAAGAATCTAAATTGACTCGAATTAAAATAAAAATACATTTACCTACTTCATAAATAACACAGATCAACGTGGAACAGGAAACCAAGTTCACAGATATTGTTTCCGACGATATCCACATCTCATCAGCTATTCAATTCATAATTTCCTACTTTTACTTTAATTCGGTACTGAATGTAAATATTTTGAAGATACCCAGGTAGAAAGTGATAAATGAAATTAGCTTGCATTAAGGTAATTTTGTAAGCGTTACCTTCAAACTAGCTAACTATAAGTAAGGATGGTACAAAGTTAGTTGGTAACGCTTTAGATCGTTAACAGTAAGGTTACTATTTTAGCTTGCATAAACAATGACAATTTAGCTAACTACAAGATAAAAAATAAATCTTATTTTAAGAATGTACAGGTTAGGTATGTTGAGTAAAAATAAGCGTTCTTAACCTAAATGTTGATGTCTTGTCGGTCGTTTTTACAATGATTTTAATGTACAATATCTTAACCGATGTAAATAATCGATGTTATATAGAAAATGCACTCAACATTTTATATATATTTTTGTTTTTTACGTTTTTGCACTGCCGTGCCACTTCTTTTGTTCGAAATAAAACTCGAACTGTATTTTTATGTTTATTAATAAATAACTTCACTAAAACTAGTTAATAATTAATATTAATAATAATGATACTGCTTATGTTTATGTTGATCAAATATTNAAAATATATTCAATTTTAATTTTTTAGAACTGTTAATTTTAATTAAATTATGTTAATGTAATAGAGGCAACGCATAACGGTGTACTGAACTATTTTCTGAAAAATTTAAATCTATTTTCATTACTTTCGATTTCACTCTTAAATTACCTATCACTCCCAAATACATTTACATTTGATGAACTTGAATAAGAATAATTCCCATATTCTATTGGCTGACTATTTTCTTGTCGATGATACTGAATTTTTAATTTTTTCCTTACCCGACATTTTTGTACCCTCAGACGTGTCAAAGCTAATTTCCTTTTATGATTATTATCCAATATTTTTTTCGCCAGATTAAGTAATAATATAATGTAACTTTGCTTTAACCTATGATTTCATATTAAAAACAAGTCTCAAAATTCGCGTGAAAAACAAGCTAACGGGGAGATATACTTTAAGGTTACCTACACTTCAAATTCTTGTAATGTTTTTCATTCTAACAACAACCTAGAACTAAGCTTGCGAAACGAATCTTGAATGCTAGGCTAAAATAAAGCTAGTTTGAAGTTTCAAACTTGTCTGACTAAGACAATTTTCTACCTGGGTACGCTTTAGTACCTATATTTTATGTATGCTAAACTCACCCTCTAATGTCTTTTGAAATAAAACAGTTTCCTAAATGTAAATCATATTAAATTGTATAAAATATAATATTTATTAATTCCACAATTGTTTCGATGGAGATGGACAATGTTCAATTTAGTCAGATGAAAGAATTCTCGAATTTCTTCTATAAATTAGTGAAAAAATGTGTTTTATAATAAGTATTTTATAAATTTTATTTTGGTTTGATTATGTTCTCTCACAAGTGCTGAGCCATCATCAAAATAAACATTACGATTTCAACAATAATATAATATTTTTGCGGTTTTTTTTATCATACTTTTAATTAATCTTATGTAATTAGTTACTGAAAGTTCTGTAACTCAAGGTCAATAAGTACTGAAACTGAGATAAAATATTAACAGATAAACACAACGACTGCAAACATCTCATACCTCTCATACCTTAAATAAAAGATTATTTACAAAACCCCAAAAATAATGGGATCAATTCTATTTATGAACTTTAAAATTGCTGCTGTTATTATTTTAAAAGCTACTAAAGCGGTGGACAAATCTAATGTGATTATGCAACGTTTCTCAAAATTCACAAACTATAGGGTTGTTCTGAAAGTCATTTCGTTTTTTTTTGTGGAAATGAAAGACAGTTTTAATTGGAATTTAACACAACTTTTTTTAACTTTTAACTTTTGGGTGTTTCATTCCAACCAGCCAGTAATGCTGGTGGGCGGGCAGTCCCTCCGGACTACGCCGGAAGGTAGGGCGGAAGGCCCTCTTCAGCCTGCTACCAGGATTCGTGGGAATGGGTGGGTGGTGGTTCGGGTGAGAAAGATGAGACGGACGAAATGAAGACAGAAGAGAATGAAAGATTATCTGTGGAATATTACTGCCTCAGCATTTGCCTAGGTGATCCAAGGAAACCACAGAAAAACTTGGACCAAAACAGACGAACCCGGAATCGAACCGGCGTCCTCCCGAATGCTAAGCAATGGTCTAGACCAGGGATGGCGAACCAATGGCACGCGTGCCATTAGTGGCACGCGACACGATATTTTGGGCACGTCACTAATGTTTCTGTCATTAATTCTTTAATCAAGGAATTTTCAGATTTTCTCACTTCAGTGAATTATCGAAAATACTAATACGAAAGTTTATTATGTACCCTGATGTGACATTTGATAAAATAAATTGAAGAATCTGAAATTCAGCTGATTGATTTCCGGTCTAGTTCAATGTACTTCAAAAAGTTGTTGGAATAAGGAAAGAGTTACAAATAATTGAAACAGAAAGATCGACGGGTAATACAAGTGAAAATGCTAATAACAAAATTTTGGAAACATGGAATGCGATAACAAACACATTTAATTTTTTGAAAAAGCTGGCATATGATATTTTAATAATGTTTTCATCAACCTATNTTAGAACTGTTAATTTTAATTAAATTATGTTAATGTAATAGAGGCAACGCATAACGGTGTACTGAACTATTTTCTGAAAAATTTAAATCTATTTTCATTACTTTCGATTTCACTCTTAAATTACCTATCACTCCCAAATACATTTACATTTGATGAACTTGAATAAGAATAATTCCCATATTCTATTGGCTGACTATTTTCTTGTCGATGATACTGAATTTTTAATTTTTTCCTTACCCGACATTTTTGTACCCTCAGACGTGTCAAAGCTAATTTCCTTTTATGATTATTATCCAATATTTTTTTCGCCAGATTAAGTAATAATATAATGTAACTTTGCTTTAACCTATGATTTCATATTAAAAACAAGTCTCAAAATTCGCGTGAAAAACAAGCTAACGGGGAGATATACTTTAAGGTTACCTACACTTCAAATTCTTGTAATGTTTTTCATTCTAACAACAACCTAGAACTAAGCTTGCGAAACGAATCTTGAATGCTAGGCTAAAATAAAGCTAGTTTGAAGTTTCAAACTTGTCTGACTAAGACAATTTTCTACCTGGGTACGCTTTAGTACCTATATTTTATGTATGCTAAACTCACCCTCTAATGTCTTTTGAAATAAAACAGTTTCCTAAATGTAAATCATATTAAATTGTATAAAATATAATATTTATTAATTCCACAATTGTTTCGATGGAGATGGACAATGACAATTAACCTCTGTTGAAACAATTCTCGAATTTCTTCTATAAATTAGTGAAAAAATGTGTTTTATAATAAGTATTTTATAAA